AAAATTAAGACGGATTTAATTTTATGATAGAATATGGAGGAGGGGGGTATCCCAAAGTCCTGTACCAAGAGTCAAAGAAAGGGGTAGGGAGAAGGGGGAGAGTCTATTATAATCTCTGAAGTGTATAAATGATGGGGAAGGGGGGGGGGGGAAAGGGTTTATATTCTGGGTTTAGTCAGATTATATTATTCAGAAACAAGGACTTAATTCTACAGTAATTAGGATTATATAAAAATATTTAAATATTTAAACTTCACTTTTACTAAAATTAAAAAAAAGAAAATAAAAACTTCTGAGTGAAATAAAATAATTGATATTTAATTTTATTATATGCTCCAAGAGGCTTTATCTTTACCCAGTAGATTAGAGTTAATTAAGAATAAACGAGTTAATGAGAGAAGGGAGCGATGAGGGGAATCAAGACCAGAAGAGGAAAATTTAAATTAATTACATTTTCCCAGTTAAGTTTTAATTATCTAAACATCACAGTTTTTAATAGCTATCATTTTAGAGATATTACATTACTACTAAGTTTAAAATGGCTGAGATACATTTATACAGAGATACAGAATTAAATATTACATAGACACAGAGTTCAATATTATAGAGATACATGAGTTGAATATTACAGAGATACAGAGTTCAATGTTACTGAGATACAGAGGTAAATATTACAAAGACACAGAGTTCAATATTATAGAGATACATGAGTTAAATATTACAGAAATACAGAGTTGAATATTACAGAGATACAGAGTTTAATATTACAGAGATACAGAGGTTAGTATTCAGAAATACATAGTTTAATACTCCAGAGATAAAGAGTTCAATATTACAGAGATACAAAGTTAACTATTACAGAGATACAGTGTTAAATATTAAATAAATGCAGAGTTTATTATTACTGAGATACAGAGTTTAATGTTACTGAGATACAGAATTCAATATTACATAGATATTAGAGTTTAATATCACAGAGTTACAGAGTTTAATATTATTAAGATACACAGAGTTCAATATTACATAGTTACAGCGTTCAATATTACAGTGATATACATTTCTAGTCGGGAACACGGTGCTGCCCAGGTTACTAATGGTTGCTCCCGCCTTTTACCAGCACTTGGTCGATTTTACCGGGAAACTAAGTGTTTGCTATAAAAGTCGACCCACTCAACTTAGAATCTTAAAACCAGGTTAAGAACATTCCATGTGGTTCTTTTGAGTTTCCCAATCAAAATTTGAGGCATATCGGTCATTAGGTTCCTGATTTGTGATTGGACAAACAAACAAACAGAGATTACAAATTTATATATATATAGATTACAGTCATACTTAGCTATTTAAGTTACAGTGAGAGAACAGAGAGAAGACACTTTGACAAAAATATTATTTGGGTGAGAATACACGAGGAATGAAAAGTTAAAAGATTAATCTTGAGCAATAAAAATATTTGTGTTGAGAAGGAACTTTTCTCCCAGTTTTATTGTTACAAGGGATTTATTAAAGTAGTTTCTGTCACACTGTGATATGGATAGAGCAGAATTTTTACAAGGAGGGGGGAGATTGAGGGGTACTGGATAGGAGGAGAAGAAAAAGGGGGGGCATATAATACTAACTATCTCAAAAAGATAGAATTCAAGGTATGGGTTTTTAAAATTAAAATTAAAAGTTCTCATAGTTTTATTATGCCGCGTAAAATTCCAAAACAGAGAGAGGGGGATTGAATTTTGTAGACCCAGAAATTAGTATTTATTCGGGTTAAGACACTTTCTGGGCCGAGCGCTGCGGCCACATGTCTTACATTTAAGACCCCACCAGCTACCAGTCTCTACGCAGGCATCGCACAGATATTATTTTTCTGGATCTACAAAATGCAATCCCCCTCTCTTTGTTTTGGAATTTACGGTGCATGCGCGCGCAACATAAAATGGCAAATGCCTTTTCTCTAACATCGGGGGGGGGGGATAATTATAGATAGTTTACAATAAGAAAAGTAAATAGAAATAAAAGCGCAATGTCTAGGAAGACACTTATTAACTAAAGAATAGACAAGAAATGGAAAATTCTTAAAATAAAAAAGAACAAAGAAAAGAATTTACAAAAGGAAATTCTTCGAACAAATTTACTATTCTCAAAAGAACGGATAAAAATTGTTTCTGGGCTGAATACTGATGTCTCTAGCGCCTGTATAAATGTTTTAATCAAACATTTATTTCAATTCGTAAAAAAAATTGCTACCACACCAAATTAGGTGTTCATGGAAAAATTAAATCAATTGTAGAAATAATTGTAAGTCCATTGTATAAAGTTTTTTTTTTCGATTGAGAAAGGTTTCCCTCTACACCTTTGTCTAATCAAAATAAATAAGTAACCCTTGTAAATGTTATCCTACTTTTTCTTTTAAATTCTAATTTCAATAAAACAGTGAGTTGATGATTTATACAGTAAATTAAAATGGAGAAATATCCATTTATATATAACCAGAAAAATATTTAATGGGTTACTATTGTGAATCGGACATGCCTCTTTATAATTTGAGGGTTACTTGAAATTATTGATTTGTAAAAAAGGATGTAAGAAATGTGCATAATATTTGTATCATCATATGTGTACGTCTTAATAGTTAACATTAGATAGATTGCAAGTTGGGCGATTAACAATTAGCATAAACTTTGACTTTTGACCTTACCAAAATCCTGCTTCCGAAGTTAAAAACCATTTTACAAACTGCTACCTATGTGTTTGTAGCAAATGCCCTACTCCATAAGGGTTTCTCAAAGCCGTATCTATCCAGGTAAAACTCGTCAGCTATCAATGTGAACACTGACACAAGCTCAGCTATCAATGCCAAAACATACACAAGCTCTTAATCGATCAATGCCAAATCAATGGGCACGATCTCAGCACACATGATTCAACGAGGACCAGATATCAATGTCAACAGGGACACAAGCTCTTAATCGATCAATGCCAAATCAATGGGCACGATCTCAGCACACGTGATTCAACGAGGACCAGATATCAATGTCAACAGGGACATAAGCTCTTAACTATCAATGCCAAACCAATGGGCAGGATCCTAAACCTGTTTGTTTAAAACAAACAGTAAACAGTATGGAGTCTCTAACTAACTATATTTGGATTCTACATTGAAGAATAAGTATTAGCAGACGTAATTACAAGTTACATATAACGTAGTTAAGCTAATCACAATATGGATTTGACGGAGTTATTATTACGTATATAGGTTGCGTTAATTGTAATATATGATTTGCATATTACTAATGAGTGCATTTAGATCTATGGACATCCTACGGTAAACGGAGGTCCTGGTATAAAAGTCGAGGAGTCTAATTTAAGAACCCATTTTAACCAAAAAAATGTAGATCTTTCGTGTTTGCTATTTTAAACTTTTCGGTTGTACTATTTATTTTGAATACTTAAGTTTTGATGGTCTCTTGCGCTGTTGTTGACTGGATGTAAATATGACTGTAAATATGTTGATACAGACAGGATGTACTTCGTTGTAATTAGTTTTACGTCTTCCAATCCTTGCCATAGTCTATTTATTTTTTATATCTATGTGTTTCCTCCTATAGAGCATATTTGCATACGGAAATTAGGGGCCTAGTGAGTGCATAATACATTAACCATGGGTAAATACTGAACCATTATCATTTAAAGAGACTGTTCACGTTATTTTAAGTGACACTTCACTTAAAGAGTTGAATGTTAGATTCACAAGGGTACCCTTATTACCCTTCTCACTAACATCGAGGAATATATCCTAATTTTATCTTGAAAAATGTTGTATTCTAACTGTTTCCTTCATTTTCTCTACAGCATGAATGCGCTATAGTCACTGATCATTTTACAATAATAATAAATTTTCAATTTTAAAATCTAGAATATCTTATTAATCCCTGATAAATGTTTAATGGGTACCGGTGGGAATCACAAAATTCCTCTTTGTAAATGGAGGGTCACTTTAAATAAGTCACTAGTCCCTTTAATAGCTTTCAATGGATCAATATTGAAGACGTGTCGGTGTATAGAGATCTTCACAAACATATAGAGTAGCTTCAAAAATATACAGGGTGTCCCAATAAACATGGAAAGTGAAAAAGTTTTTTTTGAAAACAAAAAAATATTTCAAAATACTTGATTTTACAAGACATTACATCTTCTAGAGAAAATTTTGTGGTAATGGTAAAAGGCTATTTTGTTATTCTGGAAAGTGTGCATTTAATCTGTTTGTACTTTGCACTATTATCTACAAGATTAACAGTGAACAAATAAACTCTTCTTGGTTTGTGACATTAACCCTATCCCCGCTGGGGTACTTGAAAACCAGGATACGCTGGGGGGGGTATGCCAGTGACTTAATTGTTTTTTTGTTTCTACTGTTTTTAACAATGGTTTCTATCATGAATATGACTGAAAATTCTTATAATCTTAATAGGTTTGTTTATATATAGTTGTAACTTCTATGCTTTGAAATTATATTTCTAAGTATTTTGCTAACATGCGATATGCCGTTGTTGAATGGCACTATCTTCAGTAAACTGCCTCATTGGAATACAAATGGAAGTAATCTAAATGCACGTGCAGGGGAGTCAAGTGTTGAACCGCGGCATTTTTATATTTTCCGCGCATTTTCCGTGGTAAAAGTCGTGCATGTAAAGGTCTTAGTAGATCCTAAACATTGGTATATAAGCCGCAAGCTTTCAACTCATCTTCAGTTGTTGTCAGGGGTCCAACATGAAAACATTTACGCCTATCTTAGGTCTGTAATTAGAAAGCTTTAGTTCAAATATCTAAGACTTGCTGAAAAAAAGTTTTTTTTTTTCTTCAATATTTCAGGATTTCTTCTTCTTGGTGGAGGTAAGGCCCAATTGCCTGGTTATGGTAAAGGGGGAGGAGGTGGAGGCTTTGGAGGAAATGGAGGGGGATTCGGAGGTGGTGGTGGAGGAGGTGGAGGAGGTGGAGGAGGTGGAGGAGGTGGTGGAGGAGGAGGAGGTTCTCTAGAAGATGCTATTCCTGGTGTACCCGGTGCTGACTACCCAGTTTATGCTCAAGTTCCAGATACTGGTTTCTCTTGTGACGGAAGGGTAAAAGAGCTTTTACAATTAATTTCTAATGAAAAGAGGTCACTTTATATTATAGAAGTTATTCATCAAATTTACTTCAAAGCATCGCAATGGCTTTGGATTTACCTCAACAAGTCACTTAAATACTTTTTGTAGCCCTAGGCATATACATACTAATATCCAGGGTTGGGTTTCAAAGATATAGGGATAAAAAACCGTAAAATTTCTTATCTTGTCTTTGCTTTTAATCTTGACTGTACAGTGTTTTTGGGAATTTTGAAGAAAAAAAATATTCTCAAATTAGTTGAATCAGTTCATGCGTTTTTGGGCTCACTATTTCAGTGAAATTCGACCCACTCAGTTGCATACACTTTGGGAAGCACATACAGAGCGTCCCATATCATATTGGATTATCTCCAAGCTTTAACGCCAAAATACGTACATAATACTTTGTCGAAAAACCTGGCATTTTCTGCTAGAAAATTTCGATCGTGTACATTATTATTATTCATTTTTTTTAATTTTCTGATTATAGTCCCTTAAATCTCATTTTAGACCTTTAAACGATCTAGTATGATGTGGGACACCCTGTAGATATAGTTTGCAACCTTTTGATCACTGTGGATTGGGAGGCATACATTATTAAGTAATTCATGGTTTAGCCATCCCATACAGTTGTAAAATTTTCTGGAAACAGTAGCAAAATTTAATCTGATTAGATCGTCAAACTTGACAGTTATATTTCTCTTACCTGACAAGAAAACGTTATTGTAAGAGAAAAAGTCCTAATTTTGTAAAAAGAAATTTAAAAATCTTATTTCATCCTCAGGTTTGATTTCCAGTTGTTCTTTTAAAAAGAAATACATTAAGAAATTTTTCTATTTTAGAAAAAAATCTTATAAATTCTATAAAAAGCCTTAAAGAATACTAAAAGCTGGAAGCAAAGGATAACATTTCATGAATAAAACGTATCTTTCATTCGCGATTAAAGGCCTTAGGTCAATTTGGAAATTTTTACGTATAGATCGATAGGATATTTCATAAACACTTCCCTCAAAACAAGATTTTGTTTATGAATTCTGCTAGATCATATACAGCATGACAGTTTAAATTATCATGGTAAAAATGTTATAAATTCGAAGATTGAAGATTTAGTAAACAAGAACAAAAAGAAAAAGTTTTTCAGAGAAAAATATATTAGAACTTTTTACTGTCAGTTCTATTTGCCTATATAATACATAAAGTGTCTTATGTGTAAAACATTGATGTATTTTTTAATAACATCAGTTTTACCATATCTAAAATTATAATTTATGACATTTTCATCCCTAATACGTCGGTGGTTGGCAAGTATAGTAATATAATTAATTTAAGTTTTACTTGTTAGGAAGCTTTTATCGAATTACAAGTAAACAAGCAATTAAAGAGAATCTTTTTTTAATAGACAGCTTCTCTTTGTTTCCATATGTTTTGTCTCCATGCTGTTTAAAAGCTTGATATAAATCAAAATTCATATCAAAAGTCGTCTTCATTTTATTGATATTATCGCCTACCACCGTATAAAAAATGAAAATTTCAAAATAATTTCAGTGATAACCAAAATACTCTTAGATAAGAAGACGACTTTTAGCATCCAGGCATAACTTATAAAAATCCTATTTGCATGAGACACAGCAATTTTTCAGTGTCAGTAGACCCATTACTCTAAATTAGTGATTTAATAAGTGTTTAGTAAACCATTTGCTCACTTATTAAGTTTTGACAAAAGGTCGTCTTCCTATTCCATCATAGTTATCACTGTATGGCATTTCATTAGTAAGGGGAAGAAAAAAGACGACATTAAATCCAGTTATTTCTGGCTATTACATTTTATTCTATTACTAGTTAGAAGGTGGAAAGTATGGTGACCCTGCTGCCGAGTGTCAAGTCTTCCATATATGTGCTGCTGCAGATACAGAGGGGGGGAAACTAACCTACAGTTTCCTCTGCCCTAATGGAACTATTTTCAACCAGGAGCAGTTTTTTTTTCATCAAGTTGATTAGATTTATCATTAAGAGATTTTACAGTTAAAGCAATTAAGTCTTCGCCACAAACTTTTTTTCCTATCAGGGTACCTTTGCATCCTGACGGTGTAAACCTTTGATATTTCAAGCTTAGATTGAAATATGATATGATATAAAAAATGATATAACAGAATGTAGTTTGAAATATCTAAGGTCTACGATATTGGGTTACAAAGATATATGGTTTAGAAAATTAAAATGTGTGGCAAAGACTCAATTCCAAATACATTGTGAATACATTTTTGATTTAAGCTAAAAACGACAATTGTTTAAATTTAATAGAAATTTAATAGAAATTGCATCTTAAAAAGTGATTTCCAATTTGGTTTGCAGTGTTCACTATTTCAAAAAAAGATATCAAATATGTTGTTGAATAAATTAGACAACTTGCCAATTTGAAAACATTTTAGGTGCCATTCTCATTCACAATAAGTTTTATGTCCATGTGGTGGGGAGCTTATCTTTCTTTATATTCTTACAAAATGTAAGCGCATTGTGTTTTTTTCTTGGTCATAACAATTGAGATGAAGCATTTGGATTTTCTGAAAAGATTATTAGTTGAAATTAATAAAAACTGTCAAATAGCAATACTTTATTTGTGACTGGTGGTTTAACTATGATTGCTCCCTGACAGAGGGTCTCTATTCCAGGTAAAGTTTGGTTTCAGTATTTTATCAGTTAATATCCGCAGTACAGTGTAATTTCAAATAAACCCTCATGTAGATTTGTCAGGGCCCGATCTACAAAAGTATCCTCGAAAACCACACTTAAACATAATCGGTTTTCGAAATCATAAACATGGATATCTTAGTCATGCTTGATCAGTCAAAGCTATTAAAGTTGCCATTGTGAGTCGGACATTGTAATCTTTGCATGGAGGGTTCCCAGAAATTAGGCGTGCAGTCCCTTTGTTTGGCTTCTAGGAGGCTTAATCAAAATCAGAAAATTGTATTTATAAGTTTGCTTTTTTATCTACACTTTGCAAAATGTTGACTTTATCAGAAGATGTAATAGCCTAAACTGAAAACTTTAGAGTTAATTAATCCGGAGATTAATAATTAGAGGAGAACAAGCTCTATATTTATTCTGGAGATTTAGAAAAGAGGAGATCAAGCATTGATCTCGATATCCACCATTCTAAAGTTTTCAGCTCTGAACAAATTTCAAAATAAAAGTTCGTTTTCTAAGAATAATGTTATTTGGTTTATGTGTATATCTTCTGCCACTGTCAAAACTAATCATAATTTTATAAAAGAAAACTGATAAGGAATACAGTTTTGATTACGGTGATTTTTAATGAGCCTCAAAAAACACAGAACTTTGAATGTTATATAAAAATAGCCAACTCTTGCTCTAGGAACGACGAGGTTGCTGCGGAGGCTGCCAGCTATTCTCCTGGAGATCAAGGTGGTCAGGGAGGTCAGGGAGGTCAGGGAGGGGGACAAGGAGGTAGCAGAGGTGGTAACCGTGGCGGCTCAGGAGGAAGGCCTTCAGGAGGCGGTTCAGCTCCTTCTGGATACGGAGCCCCTGGACGATAGATCAGTTGCCATCGGTCCAAAACTCTTGACATCCCCTCCTCGTCTTGCTCCTCTTTCTAACAGTTTCTAAACACAAATATTCTAGTGTTCACGATCTAAAACTGCATTCATATTCACGACACAGGGTCATCTTTGTATCACGCGTATAGTTTGCCCTTTAGCCCAACACGGTATTATCAGTTCACAGGAATGAATTGAAATCGTCATTAATGGTGCCATTTCCTTGTCTGATTGTGAGGATAAATTGTTTCCTTGATGTGACCTATACCACTGGGTAATCCTGATCCTTTAAGCCGGGGCTAGGAAGAGGGAAGAGGATAAGCCGACATTATTTTTTATGATAAATTCAAAGATCTGTTTGAACCGAAATCACGCTGGAAATATTTTTTTGTTATGGCTAAAGTTTATATAGTCTATTGCTTATTTGTTATTGCATTGCTTTTTTGTGGTTAAATTAGATTTAAAGTATTTTGTGATAAATTAAATATTCTAGTCGAAAATGTTTATTTAGAGTATTATTTATTAATTAAGTTTAATATCTGTATTGTTTATGAAAGAGAGAGGAAGGATGTTTATTATTTATTTAATTATGCTGAATGTATGTTAAAATACCAAAAATAAACTATTTTTGAAAATTTAAGAATTATTTCAAGAAAGTATTTAAAAATCGCTCAACCTCTTACTGAAAATATATTGTCATAAACTCACCAAACCTCTCTAATTTTCTGTTAAATACTCAGCTAATTTAGACAAAAGGAGAAGGTTCAATTAATGCAAAATTACTGCCACGACGTTGTGATCTCCTATCGCCTCTAGTTTGATTTGTATGTACAAGTATCTGATTACATATTTGCAAACATCCAAATATTTTTGCGAAATCTAGTCATAAAGCAAAAAATGTGCAAAAAAATTGCGCAAATCACACCAAATTATACATTTCTGAATAGCCCTTCACCCAGCAAATTCAAATTTGCCAACAAATTTCAAAAATTTCAAAACCTAACTTTGTATTTCAGAAAAATTAAAAATATGCAAAAATCTGTAAAACATTTCTTTGCAAAAATTGTGCAATCTGCTTGCTTTTTTTAAAGGCTTTCTAAAGATAAAATGTTGAAATCCAATGACTTGAAGTAGGTCCTAATTTAGATTTAGTCTGGTGTAGGAAAAATTTGAGCTTCCTAGCTCAAAAACTTTTTGAGTTTTCGCAAAAATACGATACGGGGGTGTCAATTGACCCCTCCTCCCCAGGCCAGATACAATTAGAAAGTGATGAATTCTGTATCATAATTTCTTTCATTGTCTCTGCAGCATGAATCCGAAAGCGTTATGTGAAAGGGTCTTTAAGCCTTGACTTATTAGGAAAAAGTACTTCAAGAATTACTAAAAAAACATGTTTTCAATTTTATCATCTAACATGAATCGATTTAATTTCGTATGCCTTAAATTCTCGTTTCCTTTTTTACTGAATATTAGTTTTTGGTACTCCTTATTCACTTTCTCGATTGTACAGTGAAGACAGGAATTGAGTCTTTGCCACAAACTCAAATGTTCTAATTCCTAAATCTTTCGACTTGATGGTGTTAATCTTTGATTTTTCAATTTTTAGAATTGAAATATCTTAGGTTGCAAAGATACAGGATTAGAAAGACTCACTTTTTACAAAATGACAAAAAACATTAGCTTTATTAAATTTTAATAATTTCAAATCTGAGACGTGATATTATGTGCACCCCCCCTTTAGGCCTTTTTCTCCATTACACTATTACTGTTTATCCGAGTCTCCTTTTATCTACAAAATCCCTCCAGCAGTTGTTCTTTATGTTCAATTTATCAAATATTCTTTTTTATTTATTCCTCACACACATTGGGTTAGCACAGATGCAAGAGAGTGGAGATTTGGCTTAAACAATTTATCAAATTCATATTTTCCCTGTTTAACCCTCCTCCAGTTCCCCCTATATATATCTTTCGCGTCTTGAAATCAAAACTTTTCTTTTTGAAGAGCTAACGAATAAAAATAAATGTTTTGAATTTCTGGATTGAGTTATTTGACTCATATTTGCGCGAACAAGCAAAATTTGAGGGGCTGCGAAGTTGTACAAGCAATGTCGCATAAAATTGAGCGTCTCATTCTGAAGTTGTTTGTTTTTTTAAATAGCGGTTTGTCGAATAAAAAATAAGAGGGGTTCAGGAATGATGGAAAAGGAGGGATGAGTTGAGTGTGAACTCTGTAGGTATCAGGATAGATACGGGGTTTAGAGAAGGGTTGGGTTCAGGGGAAAAAAGGGATAGGGAGCCACGCGAATTTAACAGTTCTGTTCTTATCTATAGCAAAGCTGTTACTTTCGCTCACAATTTAACGAACTAAACATAATTTGTTCGCCTTTTTGTCGACACAAATGATTTTTAAATAAAATAGTATAAAAAGAAAACTAAATGAAAATTAAAGATTGGTTAATTAAAGACAATGATTAAATTCAAATAGAAGAAGCCGAACGCATCTCGTCCTTGTTTGTCCCGGGTAGAGCGTTTGGATTGAGGTCTGAAGAAGATGGTGAAAGGGAGGGGGTTGAACCTAAATCAGAAAAATGTCGATTTTCATATAAAATGTTTCCATAAGAGGATTTCCGATAATTGAATAGCAGTCTTGGAATTGGAAACTCATTTTAAACTAGAAAATTTAAATCTTTCAAACTCATTTTCTTTTTCTTTTTAAAAACAATTGTAAATCGGTTTTCTGTTGTACATCCTACAATTGTATATTATAACTAGCTGAAGAGCCCGGCGTTGCCCGTGGAAAAAAAAAATATTTTAAAAAATGGCCCCCCGGCCACCCATGAGTGTCCACAAAAAAGTTCATTCCAATCGGTCCAGCCGTTTGGCCGGCTACGCAACATATATATATATATACGAATGTCTTCTTTTACAATATAGATATGTAAGTTGCAAGACAAAAATATGTAATAGCTATATATCTGATATATTAAACACAGATTATTCTTCTCTTTTTTATCTGTACAAATTGTTTTGCATTTTTAACACTCTATATGTATATGTGTTTGGCTTGTTTATGCATATCCAATACACGTCAAAAAAATTTAAATTTAACATGTTAAAAAATAGATATTTAAATCTTAAGCTATTTGAAAACTACATAATCCATACAACATCACATATTTTCTACTATAGACTATTAATGTGTTTTTTTACTATAACCTATCCTTAGCTATTTTATCACTTTATATGAACTATCATATACTTTAAAATTAAAGCATTATTGCTATTCTACAACTATGGACAATATCAGCTATTTTACAACTAATAACTAACAGTCATTTTATAGCTAACTAAGATCTATCGTCTATTTTACAACTAGCTATGAACTATTAGCTATTTTACAGCTAGGTATAGACTATCAGCTTTTTTACAACTGTGAACTATACAGCTATTTTACAGAATTATCAGCTAGTTTACAACTAGTTAAAAACTGTATCAGCTATTTTACATCTAGTAATGAATATCAGCTATGTTGCAGCTATCTATGAACTATTAGCTATTTTACAGCTAGCAATGTACTATCAGCTATGTTACAGCTAACTATGAACTTTCAGCTATTTTACAGCTAACTATGAACTATCAGCTATTTTACAGCTAACTATAAACTATCAACTATTTTACAGCTAACTATAAACTATCAACTATTTTACAACTAGCTATAAACTATCAACTATTTTACAAATACCTATGAACTATCAACTATTTTACAACTAGCTATAAACTATCAACTATTTTACGGTACCAGTAATAACATTGGGCACACAAACGTCGGACGTTAAAAAGGTCGGACAGTACAAATGTCGGACATACAAACGTCGGACTGGTACAAACGTCAGACCAGTACGTACGTTGGACGGGTACATTTATTAGGAAAAACGTCGGACTTTGGTTAAGTTTATACGAATTATTCTCAGAAATCAATTACTTATTGTGATACAAATCAAAGCTAACTGAATAGTCTCATCCTTTGAAGGCAGCACTCTATAAGCAACAAACCAAAAAGGAAATGAGTTCTCGCCACAAACTTTGAAGTTTTAATTCCTATATCTATGCAACCCGTTGTCGAAGACCTTAGGTATTTCAACCTATGAAATCTAAAAGATCGAATATTCTAAGTTTGAAAGTATCAAAGGTTAATACCATCAGGTTGCCTTATTGACAAGAACTCAGTTCCTTTGGGTACATTTTAATTAGACCATTCGATAAAAGGAAATAACTTTTTAATAAAATTTCTTTCTTTTTTTCTTAATCTGAAGTTTGTAAAGGTCCAACGTTAGTACTGTCCTACGTTTGTACTAGTACTAACGTTTGTACCAGTCCTACGTTTGTACCAGTCCGACGTTTGTACCAGTCCGACGTTTGTACCAGTCCGACGTTTGTACTATGTCCGACGTTTGTACCAGTCCGACGTTTGTACCAGTTCGACGTTTGAACCAGTTCGACGTTTGTGCCAGTCCGACGTTTGTACCAGTCCAAAGTTTGTACCAGTCCGACGTTTGTATCAGTCCGATGTTTGTACCAGTCCGACGTTTGTAACAGTTTGACGTTTTTACTTGTACGACGTTAGCACTGGTCTGAAGTTTGTAAGTCTTAGGTTTGTACAGTCTGACTTTTGTGGGTCTGACGTTTGAAGTGGTTCCTATTTTACAACTATGAACTATTAACTATTTTAGAAGTATGAAGTATCAGCTAGTCTTCAAACATGAGTTATCAACTATTTTACGACTTGCTGTAAACTATCAGCTATTTTAAAATATGAACTATCAGTTTTTTACAAATTTAAACTATTTTTTAAAATATGTAAAATATCAGTTAATTTCTAACTATGAACTATCAGCCATTTTACAATTATGAACTATAAACTACTTGATAACTATGGACTTTCAACTATTTTACAACTATGGACTATCATCTATTTCACAGCTAGCAATGAACTATCAGCTAGTTTAC